GAGCCTAGGGCTGCAGGGGTTTAGGGTTTAGGGTTTAGGGTTTCGGGTTTAGGGTTTAGGGTTTAGGGTTTAGGGCTTGGGGTTTGACATGGGGCTCAGGGGTTTAGAGATTCACTCTTCCAGGCTGGGAGGAGCCTGAGTACGAGAGCTGGAAGCAGCCACAAATGAGCTGAGCTGCGGTTCAGGGTTTCGGGTTTAGGGTTTAGGGTTTAGGGTTTAGGGACTGAAGGCTTTAATGGGGCTTCGGGCGCGAGGCGTTTGTTCTTAAAGGCCTGGATAAGCCGTTGTCGCGGTTCCAAGCGTTTAGGGTTTAGGCTTTAGTTTTTAGGGTTTAGGGTTAGGGTTTAGGGTGCTTAGAGGGCCTGTTTGCAGATACCGTATGGTTTGCAGGGTTTTGTTTTGGGGTTGATAGGGTTAGGGTTTATAGGGTTCTGACTTGCCGAAGCCCTGGAAACCCTAAACCCTGAAGCCCTGTCCACGGTAATCCTGTCGAGCAGTTTAGAAATACAGGAGCAGGACAAGCCCCAAATTCGTAAACCCTACTAGGATGGGATTTTGGACCCTCTACTAGTATTCGCTTAAGAACCCCCACAAACAAAACTAAAGCCCGTTGTAGGGTTGTTTATGGGGATTGTAGGGCCCAATCAGCTTTCGGACGGCCTGACCCGCGGGTGAAAAGTCCACGCGCATGGCAGCGACGACGCTTCAGCCTCTATGGGGGGGGGGGGGTCTCCTAAAAGAGGGGACCTTCAATATAGATCCCCAAATAGTAGGATCCCCTTTTCATAAGGACCCCAAAAGGTACCCCTAATTTCACAAAGACCCATATTTGGTTCGGGCGTCGACCCGTAAACTGCTCTGAACCCTAAACCCTAAACCCTAAACCCTAAACCCTAAACCCTAAACCCTAAACCCTAAGCCCTAAGCCCTAAGCCCTAAGCCCTAAGCCCTAAGCCCTAAGCCCTAAGCCCTAAGCCCTAAGCCCTAAACCCTAAACCCTAAACTTTAACGCCACAATCCTAAGCTCCCATACCTCCCAACCTGAACCCTAATCCCCTGCATGGGCAAACATACAGAGCAGTTTTGCGCCATTGTGGTTTAGGGTTTCGGTTTTAGGGTTCAGGGTTTAAGGTTTGGGGTTTAGGATTTAGGGTTTAGGGTGTAAATTTAGGTTGGTAATTTGTGAGTTGTTGGCTGATTGGTTGCCCACTTTTGTTGAGGTTCGTTGCCTGTGTGCTTGGAGCCTGGAGATTCATCGTGAACTGGCAATCGTTCAAGTCAGATCTTCTCGTGCTTGAACTATTCATCCCACAAAAGGCACACAAAAAAACGAAAGGACGGGAAATGCTGCATGTCGGAAACCCAAACCGCAACGCTTGACAATGTTGCAGAGCAGATAGACAATAATCAAGGCAACACAATGCTTAGAGTAATTCCCAAGTGTAAATCCTCTCCCCCCCGCAGCCTGTTCATGGTACGCCGCCTTCCCAGGATAAGGGGAACCCCTCAAAGGTAACCCCTTCTTAAACCCTCTTATTCAGAGGGTCTATCTCCCCAAGGCCGCTAATCCTATCCCCTGAGGTTGTTGTGTTTCATGATGACTGCAGTGGTTTAGGGTTTAGGGTTTAGGGCTTGGTCTACTGATGCCATGGCGATGTTGAACAGTCGGAAGCACGACTACAAGAGGCTGGGAGATGCTACAATAGCATTTCGAAAGCCGGACGGAGCAGAGATATACGTTGCTTACAGGTCGGGTGCGTTGGTTGCGGATATCAAGCAGAAGGTGAGCCATGAGCAGGAGATTCCAGCAAACAGACAAGTCTGGCTGCTTGGAAGAGAGGAGCTGGAAGACCACATGACGTTGAGCGGTTGCGGCCACCTTGAGCTGGATCTCATCCTTGCCCCGCAAGCGCGCTACAGTGAAGTCGAGCTGGATCTCACAAGATTGCCTGGCCCCGACGTGCCGCATGAACTTCGTCAGCACATATCAACGGGAGAGTGGCTGCAGGTTTTTGGAGGACTTCCCTGCGGCTTCTGGGAGTGGAGAAGTTGGAGCCCTGAGCTGAACCTCAGCTACAGCTTTGAGTACTGCGAAGAGCGGATGCTACCTTATCTCGGCGTGGTGGTGTTGCTGGTGCTACTGGTGTGCCTCGCGGCAAACGCCCTTGCTTGTTACCATATCTGGCAGACGGATATGGAGGGAAAGGCTGACCTTATTGTGCTGTCTGTTCTTGCCTTTCCATTTGCATTTCTGGTTCTCCTCGCGGTGATTCGGTGGAGCTGCTATGCTGTAGTCATAGCATGCTGTCATGTATCTTTGGGCATCTACCGTGTCTACGTGAAGATACGTGGGCTGGTTGTGTGCAACACACTACTGGGAAATGCCGGGGGTGCTGGCTTTGTCAAAGGCCATGTGTTTTTCTTCCCTCCACGTTTCACAGCTTCCGGCGCGTGGCCTACAACTGTTGTCATGCGATACTACATGAACCCTAAACCCTAAACCCTAAACCCCTAAACCCTAAACCCTAAACCCCTAAACCCTAAACCCTAAACCCTAAACCCCAAACCCTAAACCCTAAACCCTTGGGCGACAAGCTGATGAGTCTTGACCCAGAGATGATTGGAACTTGGAGAGTCTCGCCGCAATGCAAACTTGGGAACCAACGCACAGCTAAATGCAAAAGAACACAAGGTTTAGGGTTTAGGGTTTTAGGGTTTAGGGTTTAGGGTTTAGGGCAGAGTGAAATGACGGAATGGTATTGCGATTTTATGGTTGAGGGTGTCGTCCTCAACCCTTCATTTGACTCAATCCGGTTGTGTGTTGACCCTCAACCCCCCTTACTTGGCTCAGGAGGGTTGTTCACGAAACTGTCCTCTCAGATACGCTGGCAAGCAGTCGATCTCATGACAATCCAATATCAATGGCACCCACAGCCCTACAAACGTCCGCAGGAACACATGACTTCGATAGTTTTGTTGATGATATTGATGCAGGGATCTTTGTGCAGCACAAGTCTTTTTCTGGGAATGTACTATCGCATGGCTGCATACACCCGACTCCAGCTTGGACACAGACTCAAGGTGACACTAACGTGTTTTGGGAAGAAACATCCTTATGACCAGATCAACTGTCTACGAAGTGCTTTTGCACAGCATTCTCATGGAGATGTTATGGGAGTGGGGTCTAACCGGGGGGGGGGCCGGGGGGGGGGGGGGGGGGGGGCCGGGGGGGGCGGGGGGGCCGGCCCGGGGGGGGAGCCGGGGGGGGGCCGGGGGGGGGGGGCTTTCTGAGTGGCTCCAAAAAGCATTGGCAAAGCACTCACTAAGCCTTTGCTAAGCGCTCGGACCTCGACAGCTTCTCGAAAAGAGTTGTTTTGGAGTGCGTGCTGAGGGCTTGCTAAGCAATCGCTGCGCCCACTCCCTGTCACACCCCCCTCCCATAACATCTCCAGGACATTCGGCCAGAGGTCGACCAGAGATGCAACTTGCATCCTAGGCGAACGAAGCTGGACCGCAGGCGTACTTCCTGTTTGACTCTCTCTTGTCCTCCGGAATATTGAAAAAGGGTATACCATGCAGACCCAATTTTTTGCGGAACGACTTAATTTGTTAGAAAGGTTTTGGAAACAATTTCCAAATACAGACTGACTTCATTCGCAAAGAAAAGCTACACACGGACTGAATTGGTGTTTTGTTGAGTGTTGCTTTGTTTGGGTATTGATTGCTATTCTAACTTTTGGAGATTATTTGGGTTATGAGTTCGATTGGCACTTGTATTTCTTTGGTGCCGTTCAAAAACACCATCAGCAGTTCGTTCTCAGCCACCAAGCGCGGGACCGTAAGGAAAAGCTGTCAAACTTAAGACTTACAACCACCTTCCCAAAGGCCAGTTCCTTCCACAGTGCCTTTCAAGTCTGCAAATGCTGACAATGATAAGGATTGTTCCGACCGGTTAAAAAACAGTTCCCGAAACGTTGAGAATTCTTACTAAAGTGACACTTGTTTTGTGAAAACCACTGGAACAGTCCTTGTCAAACATATTCCTCATCAGCATGTTCTGTTGAGTTTTCTTGTGACACGTTGAAAGTTTGGCCACAAAATGGGGAGACATGTCTGAAGAGTTCCTCGGAACATTTCCTCACGCATGGTCTTCCGATTTTGCACAGCCGAGATGATGCAGCTTTTCGCACGAGCGGCCGCTCGAGGGCCAATGGGAATACAGGAGCCCAGCGAACTACCTGTGCCTAGAACACAAGGATGAGAAACAACCTCCCCCCTCCCCCCGAACGCAACGCCCATAAGTCCGCTGAGTCCCCTAAGTCCCCTAAGTCCCCCAAATCCCCTAAGTCCCCTAATTCCCCCAAGTCCCCAAATCCCCTAAGTCCCCAAGTCCCCCAAATCCCCGAAGTCCCTAAGTCCCCCAAGTCCCCCCAAATCCCCGAAGTCCCCCTAGTTCCCCAAGTCCCCGAAGTCCCCCAAGTTTCCCAAGTCCCCGAAGTCCCCTAAGCTCCCAAAATCCCCGAAGTCCTCTACGTCCCCCAAGTTCCCTAAGTCTCCCAAGTCCCCGAAGTTCCCTCAGTCGCTTTCTCCACGAAGAATTTGGCTCTGCAATCTTCGAGCGTTTCCTTTTTGCCATCTGCCGCGCCCTTCTGAACAGCGCCCTGGTTGAGATACTTCTGAGGGTTTAGAGGGTTTAGGGTTTAGGGTCTACGATTTAGGGTTTAGGGTAACACTATAAGGTTTAGAGGGTTCAGGGTTTATAGGGTTTTTTTTTATGGGGTTTATGGGGTTTATAGGGTTTAAAGGGTTTCTAGGGTTTTAGGGTTTACAGGGCTGATTAGGGTTTATAGGGGTTAAAGGGTTCATAGGGATTCGAGGGCCTACAGGGCTTCGTGGGCCTATAGTGCAGAAACAACCTCTCGATCCTGCAAGCCGCAATCCCGCAGCCGCTGTCTGGTGTTCAGAGTCAGGGCCCTAAACCCTCAACCCTCAACCCCAGACCCTAAACCCTAGACCTAAACCCTAAACCCTAAACCCTAAACCCTAAACCCTAAACCCTTATGAAGCCCAAGATCCTCATGAAAGCCCCAAGATGCGCGCCAACTCCACGTAACGATCCTCGAGTCGGGACGAATTAGGCTCCCCCCCTGCCATGACATGCATAGACCATCCAGGGAGGCCAGCGTAATTACCGTACCTAGGGTTTAGGGTTTAGGGTTTAGGGTTTAGGGTTTAGGGTTTAGGGTTTAGGGCTTAGGGCTTAGGGCTTAGGGTTTAGGGTTTAGCAGTACAGGGTTTCGTCGCAGAGGGTCTAGGGTGTCTGAAGGCGTCACCACTAGAAACTGTTGGCCCAGGTCTAAGCGGCGCTTGCGCCACTTCGTCCAACTGTGATGGGGGTACGGGGTTTAGGGCTTTCGGGGTTTAGGGTTTAGGGTTTGGGGTTTGGGGTTTGGGGTTTAGGGTTTAGGGTTTAGGGGGGTTCAGGGGTTCAGGGGTTTAGTGTTTAGCGGTCTAGAGGTTTGGGGTTTAGGGGCTAGAGGTTCAGGGTTGAGGGGGAGGGTTCGGGGTTTGTCCCGTTAGCAGAAACCAAGCGCAAACACAATATACTCACTGTACAAGCGAGGTACCACCCGAAAGCCCTAAACCCTAAACCCTAAGCCAAAAGTTTTGCAATTAACCTTTGGAGTGTCGGGTTGAGGGTGGAGTGCTGTTAGGGGTTTGGAGTTGAGGGTTGCTGTTTTTTGGTCGGTCGTAGAGGGTTGAGAGACGGGGATTCAAGGTTGACAATGCTTGAATCCGAAAAGTGCCTCAGCCTTAGAGACCCCTCAAAACATTCAACCCTCAACCCACCCTAAAAGCCCGAAACCCGAATCCTCAACCCTAAACCCTAAACCCTAAACCTAAACCCTAAACCCAAAACCCTAAACCCTAAACCCTAAACCCCTAAACCCCTAAACCCCTAAACCCTAAACCCTAAACCCTGCCTATAAGCCCTCAGGAGATACAATCTCGGGCCGAGGTCGGTTTCGGAAGGTTAGGGTTTAGGGTTTAGGGTTTCGGGTTTAGGGTTTAGGGTTTCGGGTTTAGGGTTTAGGGTTTGGGGTTTGGGGTTTAGGGTTTGGGGTTCGTGCAATTTGGCCCCCCTTTGCCTTGGCCAGGGTTCATTTTAGCTCTTTAGGGCTGAGGGCCTTGAGGGTTTAGAGGGTTTAGGGTTCAGGGCTTAGGGTTTAGGGTTTAGGGTTTAGGGTTTAGGGTTGAGGGTTTAGTGATTCAGGGCTTGAGGGCCTTCCGGGCTTCAGGGTTCCAGGGCTTAAGCCCTAAAGGCTAAAGGGTTCACATGTAGGGTCTTTTGCGTTATTTAGGGGCTGTAGTGTAAGGGTTTAAGGGTTTCTCCGAAAGCTACGAATCGGGGCCTGGAGCCTGGAACTAGGCCCTGGATGAACTAAACCCCCAGGCCCTGATGCAAACACTCTAAACTCCAAGCTGAAGACTAAGGGTTTAGGGTTTAGGGCCTCGGGTTTAGGGTTTAGGGTTGAGGGCAGGGGCTTAGAGAGACTAGGGTCTAGGGTCTAGGGTCTACTGTCTAGGACAAGGATTTAGGGCTTAGGGTAAGCCCCAAACCCTAAGCGAGAACCCTAAGCATACTTGAGACTCCCAGGTTCTCCCCCCCCCCCCCCTATATGTATGTATGTATTTCTATAGGGCATAGCCCCCTCAACATAGAAGAGTACATGGCGCCCCTTGATACCCGAAACCCAGGTTTTCAGCTCCCTTGCGGCCCAAGATCGGGGCGGCCAGCAATGGGAGATCATCACGGCATCAGGCCCCCCACTCCCACAAATCCTAAGCTTTGTGGGTTTTGGGGTCATTTTGCATGTTTAAGGGTACTTCAACTCCATGAGGAATACGAACTTACATGTTTCATACTATCCTAACCATGAACCGGGAAACTCTAAAGCCCATCAACACCCTAAACCCTAAACGCTGAACCCTAAACCCTGAACCCTAAACCCCGAACCCTAAACCCTAAACCCCAAACCCCAAACGCCAAACCCTAAACCCCAAACCCCAAACCCTAACCCCAAACCCCAAGCCCTAAGCCCTAAACCCCAAACCCCAAACTCCAAACTCTAAACCCTAAACCCTAAAACCTAAACCCCACACCGCAAACCCTAAACCCTATTCCCCGAACCCTAAACCCCCCACCCTAAACCCCAAACCCCAAACCCAAACCCCAAACCCCAAACCCCAAACCCCAAACCCCAAACCCCAAACCCCAAACCCCAAACCCCAAACCCCAAACCCCAAACCCCAAACCCCAAACCCCAAACCCCAAACCCCAAACCCCAAACCCCAAACCCCAAACCCCAAACCCCAAACCCTAAACCCTAAACCTTAAACCCTAAACCCTAAACCCTAAACCCCAAACCCTAAACCCTAAACCCTAAACCCCGAACCCTAAACCCTAAACCCCAAACCCTAAATCCCCCTCCTCCGCCC